AACCCCTCAGGACGCACCATGTAATCGGGTCCATTAAAAAAAAAATAGTAAAGACAATTAAAGCTCCTCTCTCTTCTCACAGAAAGCCCTCCAGTTCCCAATAATCCTCTCTCCATATCTCCGGCCAAAAACACCAGGTTACCGAGGCAACAGCTGAGGGCAACTTGTTTTTTTGTAGTGTTCTGTGACAAAGTGCCATCACCATCACCATTCTAATTGAAATCGAGGTAAACCTGTGACCAAGATGGTCAGCGTGATGTGTGGGTGCAGAATAATGGCAGTTTCTTTTTTATTTAGAGTGGGGGGGTGGGGGTTGCGATTATGCAACCATGGAAGGTTTAATTGTCTATTCCTGTGTGCCTGCAGCCTCAGTCACACCAGAACGTGTGCCACCATTCCCCTCTGCACACATCACACTTGACTGCAATTTGTACCATGCACCTTGATTCATAATATATGCCCCCCACTGTCTTTGCCAACAACCTTCAAGCTCTTTTTCTAAGCTTATCTGGATCAGGAACAAAATCTTGCAACTCACTCATTGACTTAAAGCCTAAAATACCTCTTGGTCCTCTGCCAACTTGGATCAAAAGGCCAATATTTAATGCTTTTCTGTGCCGGTCGATCAAATTAATGCACATTATTCACTAAACAAACAACGTTCCGAGCAGCTTTGTAGCTTTAAGTACAGCTGTTGGCTTTCTTCAGCACCATTTGAGGTCTTGAATGTGTATAATCAAACAACCTCAGACATTTTAAGGAGTTTCTCAGGGTCTGCTGACATTCCGCCAATTCACTCTATCATGATGCGACCCTTTAGGGTCCCAGATCAGATTATGACATTTTGACTGTAAACACCAAAGGTCAAAGTTAAACCCTGAAAGAAGGTTAGAGTTAGAGATGCATATCGTTGACTTTTTTACGATGCCGATACCGATACCACTGAACGATACCGATACTCGACCGATACATATCGTGATACTTTCATGTTGCATAGGGGAAACATTTTATCATCCCGCAATTACTCCCATGAAGCGCTTTATGATATAGTTAACATGTCAAATGAATATTAAAATTAATTGTGGGACTTCAACCTTTTAGTACTGAACAAACAATGAAAAACACGTTTGTCAACACGGGCTTGAAGACTGTACATTCCTGTACTCTGATTTTATGTGACAGTAGCAAATGTTTTGAGAGCTTGGCTGTGTTGCCGCCTTTCCCAGAAATAAACTTCTTGCAGTGGTTACAGACCCCACCATTCAAACTGGCAGTCATATGCAGCCACACTTTAGATTTTCGTGAAGGCATCGAGCTAATGAAAAAAAGAAAGCTAACCGAAAGGCTCAGACGTTCGGGAGGAAGGTGAAGGGCGTTGCTTGGCAATCAAGCCAATCACCGAAGCCTTTGCAAGACGCGCAATCTGATTGGCTGGCGGTTTGAGCGCGAGTTTAAGGATATATTGCCTCAATTTATAAAATAAAAAAATAATACATTTGAGTATGGAAAACCGGATCTGATTTCGGTACAGTATACCGTAGCCACCAGTAACCGGTATTTTGGTAATACCGAGAACCGGTATGCACCCCTAGGAAGAGTAGGAGAAAATGAGCAGGTACAAGGTAGCATTGTGTTCTCAACAACCTACAGTTGCATACAGATTCAAAAAGAAACATATGACTCATACCTACAGCATGTACATTTAACAGAGGCTCTAATCTGAAAGGCTTAAATGGAATTCCAGTTCTGATTCATTCTTTCTTGCTCTTCTTCTTTGCAGAACATGTACAGTGAGGGCGATTACCTCCTCCATCCTTTCTGCAAACGTGTGAGAAAGAAAAGGTGAACATCTGCGCCGAAAATGGATCCTAAGCAGGTATTGTTAAGTGATGAATGTTAAGGATTCCTTTAGAGGAGAATATGTAAAACTGTTGCACAAATGTCTTTGTTTTGAAAAGACAAGCCGGTTGTAGTTAAATAAAACAATAAACGCATATATTACAGATCTTATCTCAAGGATATTTTCATCTGTGCTACTGTGGCCACTCCAACAGTGTTTCATCAAACAATCATCAGCGATTAACTCTGAGCATAACGTACTTGTTGAAAATGTTTTATGCAGTTTTGGCAAGCCGGTTGAGCAGCTAAATCTCCGAGATGTGCTTTCACACAAAATCGCTCTTGTTAAGAGACTTCCACGGAAATACAGTAGTACGACTTGTGTGTTGGTGGAGCTTTTCCGTTACAAATTACAGATACGGGGGAGAGAATTTGCACATGATTAAGATCAGTGACAATGAGAGAAATGATCGTAAATCATTAGGCGTCTGGAGGCAACATTATTCCTGTGTGAGTGGAGCTTCCGTGATTAATCTCCCGCCTCCCCTGCACATAAACGGGGAAATGATGGTAGATCAGAGAGCCAGAGAATGAGTGAGGTGGGTACAACTCTTGAAAGCAGAGAATATGCACGAGTAATTTTGGGGTGATCCGAAAGCACTCAACAACATTAAAATATTCAATTTCTCCACTTCCTCCTACCAATTATTTTTGGTTGGGCTGGATAAGTGAAGTAAGTGTGTCTCCGGGTCTCTATTAACACAGCGTGGCCTCTCTTATTGTCCCGCCTTGTTCCACTTTTCATCATCTTTGCCCCTCGTGGAGCCACACTGTAAATTTCCTCTGAAATATTCGTGGTCATCACTGAGAAGATAATGGCTGAGGCCTCAATATACTTACAGGGCTCTTGTGATTACTTCCTATCATGTGTGATCATAATCACCATCAGACGGTGGTTTGATGGCGTAGTAGCCCCATGTCCACTTGAGCTGTGTGGTGGATCTCAGTGACGCCTCCAAAACAAGCTTCTTTTAAAACAGCAGTGGAGGGTAAGCTTATTGTTTAGTATACTAATTTGGTTCCTCAAAATGTTGTTAACATTAATGCTAATTTATGGGCAGAATATTTGAGAGTGTGCTTTCCCCTTAGCACTCCAGGAGACATTAGCCTTGTTTATTTTGTAATCGCTCGAGATGCTTTGCATTTTACTGCACCATCATGCCTTACTCTGCCTCGAGGAACAATATGGAAATGGTAATCCTCGCAACAATCTGCTTCTATGCACGCTACCTGTTTCATTTGGCTGCCTCTGCATCCAAATAAAAGCAATTACAAACACATCCTCCAATCACGACACTTCAGATGTTTGCAGCTTCACAATACAGTGAGTCGTGGAAGCACAACATATCCATCTGCAACTCTGGGAAAAAGATAACACCTCGCCTGAACAGAATCTGCTCTGCCTGACACATTCCCTGCTGGACAATAAATCTGAGTTTGCTTTTCTCCTTCTACCACGCAGCCATTTGCTGTGAGAAAAAAGGGTCTCGCCGCGGCGTATGTCTCAGCAGATGAAGAAACTGGCTGAGAAAAGTCATTTACTTGTGGTCACACTCATGAGTCCAGGGAGTCATCACATTATGAGCCCTGTAGCGTGCAGACTGAGAGATATCAGCAGGGGGAGAAGGCTGCGAGGAGCTTCAGATGACTGTGCATTACATCAAAAGAGGTAAATACATGAATATGTCATGTGCAGGGGAAGAACTCCTTAAAAAATGTGGCAGGAAAAAGGACAGAGCGAAGAGTGGAAAACAATCCTCAGGAGTGCAATACTTCTTAAAACCTGGATCTGGATGACAGAGAATGGCCTAGGTTGACATGCAGAAAACCTATGAAGCTAATATGCAGAACAAACAGGTTTGTTTGTGTACAGCCTGTCTGGAAAAGAGCCAATTACTGTTCCACACTGTGCACACAGATGCATCACAAATAACAATTTTTGAGAAAAATCCTTCTCCAGCTCATGGGTGGAAACCATTTGCTGCCCACACACACTTTTTGGGCTGCAAACAAACAGAACAACAACAGTAGTTCTGAGTGTGTTTTGTTTGTGCTGACCCAATTTAACCTGATATTTTCAAGGGGCGGATTTGCTTATGCAGCTGGTTTTGTTATTGAAACATCATTGCAATTTGACATTGCTGCATACTGTATGTGCCCATTAACCCCTTGCATGGTCAGCACAGGGAGGAGGGGTGAGGGGATGGAAGGAAGAGAGTGTGGGTGGAAACACACAAAGACACATACAGATTTAGGAGGGATTATATATTTTTTTAATGAGGCAGACTGATGCTTCCCTATTTTATGCTTCAGCAAAACAAAGCTATATCGAGTTTAATCATTTTTTCTGTCGTTATGAAATGTATTATCTGTTTTTCAGTTAAACTTGTGAATTCGGAAACACACACGCTGGATTTCATTGTATTTAAAAGTGAGTGTCTGTGGGTATTTGTCTGTATGTGTGTGTGGGGGGGGGGGGGGGAGACGCACCAAACTGGCAGACCCTGCGCTGTAATGGCTTTTTGTTCCAAGGTTAAGTTAGCCTCTGCTCAACAGTGTTGTCACTGGTTGCGGTAGCTTGTGTTTGACGGGATTTTGCGCACACTGGGTCAACGAGCACGAGGGCTTGAGTCAAGCATGTGCGGATTTATTTATGAAGAGGAAAAAAAAAACGTTACGCGCGCCGTCGTTTAATTGGCCATCAAGGGAAAGTAACATCAGTGTCGCATTGTGGAGCCATTTGACTGTCCTGAGATGTCAAGCCATTTAAACAACGCCTTTGTCTCAACTGCACGCACACAAACACACACACACAAAAAAACCCACATGTGTTGCTTTTCACTGCCCATAACAGCACTGCCCATAACAGCACCTCTATCATACAGCATGCAGCGCCGCATCCCCACTTCCACATGCGAGGGAGACCTGTTAAACCATCACTTACACTGTGGTAGCCTCACACAAACAGCAGTTGTTGCATGTGAATGAAACATTGTCATGGAGCCCGTTTCCAATCATCCCCGACTGCAATGTTTGCAGCGACATGTGCGTAACCCATAATAAACAACGATAAGCATTTAAAGAAATAATAATAAGCTCACCAGCAGATATAAAGGGATGTGTTCTAGCTGTTTCTTCTCTCCCGACTGGCTTTCCTCGGGGTTAATGAGCTTCTTGTTCGGACTGATTTCTCTCTCAGCTGTTATTGTCCACTGTTTTTTGGTTGTTTTTTTCTTTCTTTTTCTCCAGCGGTGAAACAATAAGCCGAAATCGGCGTCCTCTCGCAAAGCTCTGCCCTCTTCAAACTAACCTTCCCGCCCCCTCCGTCTATCCATCTCAGATTGGTGCTGGTCAGGAGGGGACCCTGAACCCGGGGGCTGCTTTAGAGGCGGTGATCTGTCACTCGCGGATCAATGCCCACATGGACATGAGGTGGACGTTTGCGCAAAGGGCTCACTCTTTACCGACCAGCTTGTCACTGGTGCTCTCGACAGCTGGAGGGAACTCTTTTTTTCTTTCTTCTCACCCCCCCCCCCCTCCCCACCTCCTCTCTCTCTCCTTTTGCACAAAAACCCTCCCAGGCAAGATACAGCAGTGAGTGGGCCCACTTATTCTGTGGGCTCCGCGCGGTGCCAGGACTGACGCAGGTGCCCAAGGTCCATCCGCGGCTGACAGTTGCCGCTGCCTCTGACAGTGATATAGCAACCTCATGTGAGTCATTGCAGTGGAAGGAAAAGGGAGCAGATCATTCCCCACTCTGTGACCTTGGGTTGGTGTGTGGTCTGATCAGAGGGAACTGGGTAAAAACAAGTGAGGAGAAAGAAGAATTAGACATCTCTCCATCAAGCCATCACAAGGTGCCCTTGTGCAAAGCATGTAAAGGCACCTCTCACCCCTGCTCAATGCAGCGGTAAATAGTACAACAGTGTGCCGGCACTGTGCCAACTCCCAGGTGTGTTGGTGTGAACAGCAGGCAGTTTCTGACCTGATTTTGTTCTCTGTGATACAAACATTTAAATATATTACTACTGGCAGAATTGGACAAATGAGTGACCTCTCACTCAAATTTTCAGTCACATTTCAAATGAAAAATTAAAGCTGCCATGGAAGTCGATAATTACCTCTGCCATGTTTCCTTGTCTGTCAGCAGGATTACGGAAAAACGACTGGACCAATTTTAATGTAACTTGGTGGAAGGTTTAAGCATGGGCATAGAAAGAACGTATTATATTTTGGAGCACATTGTAATCACATGCTGGAAGTAAGGTTCATTTTCCTTAACATTGTATATAGTGGATTAGTGTTGCATTCACATGCATGTTGGAATAATCAGACACTGATTTGCGAGCTGTGAAAATTCACATGAATGCCCATTATGTCGGAACAGAAAGTCAACGAAAGATAATACCTTTTTTGAGCTCACCTAAACCATTTGCAGTGCTTTTCATTGTCAAAAAGCAAAAACATTCTGAACTATAATTTTTTTTAAAAGACCTCCAAAGATTCTTCTCTCTAGCTTCTATGCTGTCTCTAATTTACGACTGAAGCTAAAGTCAGAAGAACAGATTCCCAACTTAGAAAGGAACTATCCAAGAGCACAATAATGCAGCATTTACCTTTAATGTGGTCCATTTAATATAACTTTTTATTGATTCTGGCCATGGTACTGCAAAATAAAAAAGAGAAATTCATTTCACAATTCCCCAGTTTTACATTACTGTAGTGCAAATCGGCTTTAAAGTGGTCGTTGTATACTGATGCTTAAAATGATGCTTGTCTTTATTGCTGAAGATCATTTGCAACATGATTACCTTTTGGTATCTAATAATCTAATCCTGACTCCTTATTTGTTTGCTAACCATGCAACATATCCTATGTAATTACCCTGCTGTATTTACTATATATTAAGATAGCGCACAGGTTGCTCTCATGGTATTATTTGGTTGAATAGTTCTCAGACAAGCATTAAATCAGAAAAAAAGTTGCCTGTTAACAGGAACGGCAATTGAGAGAAAGAGCATGCTGTGTGCTTAATAACAATTTAATAACATATATATCTTTGGAAATTAACATCAGAATGCTGTTCAAACTGCCCTTACATTTACAATATTGCTGTTAAATGTTACACAGTATTTGTGCTAATATATTCTCTGTGACTGGTACAGTAGTCCTTAAAATAGTGCTCCTTGGATGCTCATGAAGTCGGACTGCTTTAGAGAGTGCTTAAACCAAATAAAGACTTAATGTTCATGAGTAATAGATGAGCAACTTTCGTAGCCAAGTCCTCTGAGATTCGAGTTATCATATCTGCTCAGCATAAACCTTTAGGTGACTTATAGTAACCTTTTCAGTTAATTTAACCATATAGACAATAAAACAAAGGAGCAATTCCATGTTTTCAAACCAGAAGTTTTTTTTCAAGTGGTCATTGACACTTTTGTTTTGCTTTTATAATTGTTATGTAAATGTTGATAGTACAATGTATTGGTTCCCTATAAGCAGTACTCGAGTTGAGGGGGGATGAGGGGGGATGAGGGGGGATGAGGGGGGATGAGGAGGGATGAGGGGGGATGAGGGGGGATGAGGGGGGATGAGGGGGGATGGCATCCCCCCCTGAAATAAAAACGTCAAAAGTCATTTAAGTCAAAATCATCCCCCTTCTAAAACTGCCATTCCCCCTTTCCACCCCTTATGTAATTTTATCAATGAACGTGGCACTGGTATTACTGCTATTTCAACATTAATTTTGCGCATTTTGAGTAAAATACTGTGGGCCAGGGAGCACGCACACACGCAATGACATTTTTACCATGTCACTGACGCTATACTATGCGAGTGCCCTAGAGGGCGCCAGAGCGCCGTGATGCGCCTGTTTGATCGATGCCAGAAGCGCAGGTAACGGTCATCACAATGGCCAAGCAACCAGGAGGACAACGCGATCTGAGGGACTTCATATTTAACACTAGAACCGCCAACGGGTACATTTTACCCGCAGCTGTTTTTTGATTGTATGTAGGCCTAACTTTTTTTCAATAACATATTAAAGTCTCCCAGTCCGTGACTTTTCCTGAAAGTGTGTTATGTAGCACCCTGTGTTGTTAACAATTGTCAATATGAAGTCAGATTGAAAAAATCGCCAAAAAAAATTCCATTTATACCTATATCCGCCAGCGGGTAATATTTACCTCATAGAAAAATGCAGCGTAAACATGACGTGTTTCTATAGCAACGCCTTTTGTCTACTGCGGTTCCTTATAGATTGAGAGAGAGAGAGAGAGAGAGAGATAGATAGATAGATAGATAGATAGATAGATAGATAGATAGATAGATAGATAGATAGATAGATAGATAGATAGATAGATAGATATATGGATGGATGGATAGATAGATGGATGGATAGATAGATGGATAGATGGATGGATAGATAGATAGATATATAGATAGATAGATAGATAGATAGATAGATAGATAGATAGATAGATAGATAGATAGATAGATAGATAGATATATTGATAGAGAGAGAGAGAGAGATAGACAGATAGATAGTTATAGATAGTTTAACATCTTGGAGAATACAAGATCTTGGATGACTGAACTCACGTTGAGGACGTAATGCATGTGCAGGTTACGTGCCAGTTGAATAAAGATGGACACTCGGAATGAGAGAAGTAGTCCGCGTCGTCTGTTTATGTAGACAATTATATGTCCATAGAACAGAACATTACAGATAGATCGATAGATAGTTATAGATAGATAGAGAGAGAGAGAGAGAGAGAGAGAGAGAGAGAGAGAGAGAGAGAGAGAGAGAGAGAGAGAGAGAGAGAGATTTGTAGGCTACCTAAACAAAACATAAGTCTAACACCAAGTGTTTAAATCAGCACTGGTAGCGATATTTTATACTTCATGCACAAACTATATCATATGTGCGATCAAAACTGTGCGATCAAAACTCACTGTTCTGTATGATAAATAAAAGAACATTGTACCTTGAAAATAAATAGCGGGTACATTTTACCCGTTGGCAGTTTTAGGTATACAGCGACCCCTGGCGGTTCTAGTGTTAAAAATACTAAAAATAACATTTCAGGTAAGTCAAGAGTTAGTAATCTTAGTCATTACTCACTACTTTAGTTAACAAAGGTGGAATCTATGGACATAAGCAGCAATAACAACTTAGTTTGGAGTTATACGTTTTTCTCTCGTGTTAGCTAGCTGGTAAGACTCAAAACTGTTGATGAAATGATACCACCAGCACCAGGAGAGCTGAAACCCCTCCTTCAAGCAGTGAACACTCTGGTCATCTCCACAGCTGAGTGTGAACGTGGGTTTAGTCAGATGAACATTTTAACCACAACTAGAAGCTCCCTAGAGGTAAAAAGCATGTCAGCCTTGCTTTTCATCAAGTGTGTTGGCCCTCCACTGAACAAGTTCAGACCAGAGGTATATATGTCAAGACTTGGCTTCAAAGCCATTGCATAGCTAACAATCCGAAAGCAAGAGCCAGAAAAATTGAGACCAAAAAGCATGATTATGAAAATCTTTGGAAACTTCCATGAGATGGGGGAGAGTGGAGTAGGCAGCCATTGACAACATTGGTCCTATTTTGTATTATCTGTATAATCTTTTAATATATTTTCACATTTTGTAAACAATTTCAATTTGCACTTAATGCCCTGTTAAAAAAAGTAACATTGGGAATGTTAACATAAAATATTTGTATTTGAACTGCAATAAAATGATGATGGATCAATATCTTTCTAATTATTTTCCTCAAATTTTTCATGAAGAATTTACATAATGATTTAATTAATTACGATACAAATGTAACCCTTTAGATACCAGTTTTGATCGTATACCAGTAACTGCTTTTTTGAAAAAATACACTATAATTCAATATTCTAAAAACTATTTTGACTTTATTATTAGTATAATCAGTTGGTCCATCTGAATAATAAATGAGGGACTGTTAACCTACAAGATTTGTACCATAGACTTCCATTATAACCACATTTTTGTATCCCCTCCCCCCCTTTAAATTAAAGTGAAAAAAAAATGTTGCACTAATTGTCCTCTGCATTTGACCCTAAATGTTAGTGGTGCCATGGCAGCCCGGGGACCGACTCCAATTCTGAGGTGCCTTGGTCAAGAGCAATGAAAGGAGTATCTGAACATCCATAACATGCATGTTGTTTTAGGAGTATAATAATTATCTTTATGCTGGTTGGTCTCCCACCCTCGGCGGGTTATCATCACAAATTATGTCCCCATATGATAAAATCCACCATCCCCCCTGATTTTTTTTTATAACTTGAGTACTGCCTATAAGCATTGTTTCGGCCTAGATTTACGGCACAAAAGAAAAGCTTCAACCTTTATAACAACAGGAAGAGGAGAGCATGTTTACCCGGTAGCTATCAATCTAAGTTATTGCAGTTCCTTAGTAGAGGTAGGACATTTGGGAATTGGGGAACATAGGAGTAAATAGGAAAGTTTTGGGGGCCCTATTGTACTTTTTGGGTTTCCCCTTTT